AAAGGTGGTTACTTTAATGTTTTTTCGTCACTTCCTCTGTTTTTTGTCACTTCCTCTATCTGGACATCAAGTTGGGATGAACGGAGTAGGTGATTGGAGCTGTTTTCGCGTAAAGCGTTTCCCCCTCCTTTTCCCATGTAGCAATAACATTTAATTCATTGGTGGAAGGATTTGAAGTTCTTGTCTTTCACACATTAAAAACATCTGAAATGATTTGATATGTGTTTACCATCTGTAAACTGAGTAAAAATATTATTATTAAAAGGACTTTCTGATAACAAATAGAATAAAATAAAAGATAACGTAGCTTCTAGACTTGGCACGCATGTCTGCTCGGACACCAGTGTCATAACAAGAAAAGTAGCTTCTGCCTTTCACCAGTCTCTCACCAAACTAACTTTACAGGAACACTCAAATGTTTTATGGTCTTAGCATGCATGTAAGACTGAATGTTGTCCTGATTATACTGATGTTTAGTTATAATAATATTAACTATTATTATTGGTATTGGTATTGGTATTGTTGGTGTTGTTGTTAGTGCATGTGGTGATGCTTGTATTGTTGCCTTATTCCATTTTTATAGTTATTTAATTAGCAGATCTGGAAAGTACTACGGGCTTAGAGGAAGTTAGCCTCTGTGGAATAAACATTTGAAGTATCCTTATTGTTCTGTCTCACTTACAAGCACTTGATTAGTTACATCTTTGCATGAGATATTTTCTGTGGCAATTGGTGATATTCAGTCCCTAGACCTAATGAGGGACTCTTTCTTACTTCTTTCTCTACTTGTCCATTTAACTAATTTTGATGTCTAGCTCTTTACTCAGTTGGAAATGATAATATTTGTCAGTTTAATTCATGAGTTGGTGATCTTTTTTCTCAACCAGGGAAGGATTCCGCTCCAGATTAGAAAACATTGTACGTGGTCAAGTAAGCAGCAATTCTGAAAATTCATCTAATAGTAGGAACAGTGATTCTAGAAATAATCAGACTCATGCACATCCTTCACAGGAAATCGAGAATGAAAATGGTGAACAAATGCAGACCAGTGAGCTGGAGAGCACTGTGCATCAGTTGCCTGATCGCGGTGAGAATTCTGGTCAGAGTATGAATCAACAACCTCCTCCTAATCAAGGAAGGGATCGAGTGGAAGCTGTTGTTGAAGCTGAGGAAGGAATACAACGTAATTTAACATCAAATGATTCTAATGTATGGACTGATGAGACCACAGAGAATGTAAGCAGGAATTGGCAAGAAAATCCATCAACTGCTAGGTCCCTTGAAACAACAGCGTATGCGGGGAGAGCAGAACATCGTTTCCCAGAAAACCAGGAGGTTTGGCATGAGGATGCCTCACGAGAAGCTGTGGAGTCTTGGTCAGCAGGACCTTCTGATCCTCCACGAATGCGGCGTCCTGTCCCGTTAAGGAGAGTTAGTAGATTCCACCCACCTGATGATGATAATGTGTATAGTATGGAACTTAGAGAGCTTCTTAGCAGGTAAAATTTATTTCTTGATTGAGTTTCAAAAATAATTATTTCTTGATTGTGTTTTCCCACTCCATGCCTTCCTAGGCATATTTTTGGTCTGTTGTTTATTGGAAGTCTTTGTTGGGTAGGAGGAGTGTTTCCAACCTTCTTCGCAGTGGTTTCCGTGAAAGTTTAGATCAATTAATTCAGTCATATGTGGAAAGGCAAGGCCGCTCTCCTATTGATTGGGATCTGCATCGGAACTTGCCTATTCCTGCTTCACCTGAAATGGGTCCGGATCAGCAGAATGACGAGCAAAATGATGAGCAGCAGGATGGAGTTGGCCGGCCTTCAATTGTGCTACCCTCTCCTCCTGTGCCACCACCCCAGCCACTTTGGCATCAGGATTTGCATCACTCAAGTTGGCCACGTCATGCAGTGCATCGTTCTGAACTTGTAAGTCACCTACTTCATCCTGCTTATGAAAAAAGCAAAAAAAAAAGAAGATATTGCTTCGTTCTTGGAGTTATATGCTTCCATTCAGAAGGTATTGATCTTGATACCTAATGCGTGTAGTTTAGTAAGAAGACTTGGGTCTAACACGTACGAAAAGTGAAAAACTACTCTGGGTATATTCTTTACTGACGGGTGATTGGTGCCATGATCTTTTGTACTATCTTTTCTGGTTCTCTTTATTTTACCAAGTTTTCAGAAATCAGCAATCTGTGCTTACCAGTATCAAAAAGGAAAACCTGTTTAAGTAGATGTATGTTGCCAATGAGAAAAGCAGATGATATTCTGATCAAGCCAGGCGATTGATAATTGTTTCAAATTCTCACTTTTTTTTTTCCTAACAATATACAACAATTAAAATTAGGCTACACTTGCTCTTTAGCAACTAGTGATAGTGAAGCAACATGTTCCAAGATCTTTTGAACCATCTTTTCCAATTCTGATGATCTTCCTAATTTTTCACAATTCTGGTAGTCTTTACCTGTATTAGAAAAGAGAATGCATCTTGGTTGGTACTTGTCGTGAATAAGAAGAGATTTTGTTCTGTTTAAGCCAGACAATTGGTAATTGTTTTAAATTATTAAGTTTGTATGGCACAATCTACATCTTTTATAAAAATACAAAAGTCGTATGTCACTGTATTATGAGCTTACTTTGTGCTGTTCTGGAGCAGGAGTGGGAAATGATTAATGAACTTAGATCAGACATGGCAAGACTGCAGCAAGGCATGAACCACATGCAAAGAATGTTAGAATCCTGCATGGATATGCAACTGGAGCTACAACGCTCTGTCAGGCAGGAAGTTTCAGCTGCTTTGAATCGATCAGCTGGTGGTCAAGGTATGTTCGTCAACCTATGGTGTTATGAAATGTTAATGCTGCTTATACATGTCGAACATCTCCTAACCCCCTGTTTTACAACGCCACTTTTTTTCCCCCATCTAATTGGGTTTGGAATGCAAATGTAAACCAGGGGCTGCAGAGACCTCAGTCGATGGTTCTAAGTGGGGCAACGTGAAAAAGGGTACTTGCTGTGTTTGTTGTGATAGTCACATCGATTCCTTGTTGTACAGGTAAGAGTCATATTTTGCAATCTAATGAATCTTAACTGGATTCAACTTATACATACTGATAGTGTATAGAATTTTCTATTATTAGTGTAGTTAACCTGTTTTACCAGTGACCTGCCCTTTTCGCCCAGGCTACTAATCCCACCGAACTTTTTATGGATAGTGATCTAATGATGTAAACACACAGTATATAGTTGAGTAACAAGATATTTTGTTCAAGATCACATCAATAGTTAAAATGAATCGTTTGTTTTATGCAATTGGCAGATGTGGGCACATGTGCACTTGTTCAAAATGTGCAAATGAATTGGTAAGAGGCGGAGGAAAGTGTCCATTGTGTCGCGCACCCATTGTTGAGGTGATCCGAGCTTACTCAATACTGTAAAAAAGACGAAAGGGATAGGATGGTAAAGACAGAAGGTTGGTAAGGTGTAAGAGGAGTTGTAATGCTCCCTCTACCAAGCTTCTCAGATTCTTATTATTCTGTAGAGTGTTTATTTACTTTTGCCTATGCTCTTCTAATTATATATGGAATGCTATGCAATGTGTAATTGGAAAAACGAAAGGCACTTTTTTGCATCATTCATTCGTAAATAAAATTGTTAAATTCTTTTGCATTTTGATTCTTTTATTTACCATTGGTTTTAGAAGAAAGAGGAGTACGTTATAGTTTCTATCGTCATTTCATGAGACAAAATTTTATTGAAGCAGAGTTACAATAATAACATAACCAATGTAATTCCACAAAGTGAGGTTTGATAATGATAAAGATGTACATTATTATCTTTGTATTGGTTGGGAGACTGTTTTTTGATGGACTATCGGTTCAATAGAGAAGCACCTGACGTAGGATTGCAAAAAAATAAAAAATAAAAAAATTTACATAAATACACAATTTAAGATATCATAATTTTAAAAATTTCTTACCATTTAAAAAAATTACAAAATTTTTCACTCGGATACATCTCTATCTCCTTTGGGACACATCCATCCCTTCTTGGATACATTCCTATCCCTTCTTGGATTTACATCTCCCATTAAGTAATGTATCAGACATTCAAAGAATACATTTGAGAGTAATGAAAAAAGAAAACCTGACAACAAAATTGCAAGACGCAACTAATGAAACAACACAAATTATTAAATTGTACTACTAAAAGTAGAGATTATCAGAATTATGACTTCTTTTTGGGGAAAAAATGGACTGAAAATTGTGCCCGTAAGTTTGTGTAAATTTTGAAATACTAAGATGTTAGATGTGTGACATCCAACACAAAAAAGACCCATAATCACAAATTGATACTCCGTATGTTATTGACTTGTGAGCTCATATAAGTAAATTTGTGCCACATCGAAACATAGAAAAGGATTTAAGGCTTCCCACTTCGGTGGATCTTACCCCAATTTTTTCATTACGATTCGATTAATTTTATTTTTTTATTGATTAAACCATTATTGAAATTCAAATAATTGTTAAACGAATGTACAATCCAATAGCATAAAGTACTTCTTTTTTTTAAAAAATTAACAGACCAGGAACACATAACGTAAAACATAATCTTCAATAGCATAAATTACAAAATCGTTTCGAACTATTAAACCGGAACATATTAGACTGGTTCTTTTTGTCTTTCTTTGTTACCTCAGTGCAGTTAAGGGTCGTTTGACAGTAAAGAGATAACTTCATGTATTAATTAATATATAAAATTTATACGACATTCAATTTGCAATTTTAGAACCCGCATAACTAATTTAAGTAAGAGTTATGAGAGAATTTATTTACAACAATGGCAGAAATGAACTTCTTGTACTCTACTAAATGACTCCTTCACCAAAGAGGATCACAAACTACCTATACATTTGCTACTCTATTGGCGATTGTCACATTTTTAAATTATCGTGTACTGGGGTCTGTTCAACGAAAATGACCCCAATACTTTTTCAACATTTTATTTCTACAATTCTTTCATTGAATGAGCTGTGTATGAAAATAGCGTACCGGAGAAAAATTGTCACATATCAGCACCAGTTTACCAGAAAGAGGAAAGGCTACGGTATCCTGTAGCTGTCTTCTGATCATGTATGGCTTTTAAAGTCATTACGAGTTGCTCGCGCTGATCCTCCACTTCTGCATATTTAAGACTTATGTTCAGGTACCGGTCACGAATTTCTTGTAGCTCAGATTCAAGCTGAGATACTTTTTGCACATTATTGTCTCTTCCTTTGGATGGCAAACTGAAGATATAAAGACGTGGATTAATTAGATTACAATAGTAAGTTGATCATACATACTTTTAGTCGATAATGGAGATAAGTATTTCCGAATCTACAGTAGAGGAGATTTCCTTGACCAATATATATACTTTTCAGAAGTGAAGCTACAATTTTGAGTTATAAATTGTAAATTCTACAAAAGGTAGCTTATTAGGTTCTGGATAAACTATTTATACATATTAAGTGGATTTCCATCAAAATTACAAGTCTGGGCCAAAGGTTATTGGATTCTGGTTAACACGTAAGCAGAACTGTAGCTCCGCCAATGATACTCTTATTCTATCCTTAGAAAGGTATTGTTTAGGATTGTCAACTCAACTGGTAGCTAAACCAGTTTCCAGTTGATAATGCCGATTTTGTAGCTATAATTGGTTAACAGTTTTCTAAAGAATAATCAGACTAGATGGATTTTATCAGTAGCGGAGTAAGATCATAAGACATTAACATCATGAGAAACACAAAAAATGCTCAGGAAACAAAACAATTATTTTTTATATTGGCTCACCTAATTAGATGGGATTCATGGATATAATTGCTGTCTAAAGTCTGAGCTACTGTATCGCCCGGAAATTGGTTCACTGATACACTTTTGGCAAGAGTCCCTTGAAGATCTCTGTTGTAATTGCTTTCTTTGTTTCCATCCTAAATAAATATGGGGGAATGTCATGAGGTTAATAAAGAGAAGGAAATTATATTAATTATATTTTACCTGAAATAAAAAGTAATCAGTAAATATTTACGCACTGAGGAGCACAAAGGAATGAAAATAGTTTTAGTACGATGTACCTGTTGAGAGTTGCCTTGAATCTTCTGAACTTTCAAGTATTTATCTGATTGAAGAGATTGAGTAATTATCTCATGCTGATGCTTGCTGAAGTTCTCTTCCTCTACCTGTTTTTTCAGAAAACTAAACAAAAAGCAGATTCATTGCCTACTGTATCATTGATTACAAGTTATATATAGGAGAAGTGGCATGGTTGACCTCTGAAAACTTCAGCTCATCTAGAGTAGGAATGGTATCATCATCCTCTCTTTGGTTGTCTGGTCGTTTTTTCGACAATTTTTCCTCGAGGGATGTGACTTGCTTCGAGCAGTTCTCTTTCTCGAATTGAAGGGATTTTATTTGCCACAGAAGTTGGCTATTTGCTCTTCTAAGCTGGCAAAGCTCATTTTTCAGCTCGGAAACTTTGGTACACATTACTTCTTTTGCTGTTAAGTCTCCTTCCAGCCTCAGAACTTTCTCCTCTAGTGCAATTGTCTTGTATTTGCATTTTTCTGCTTCCGCCACTTCCTTCTGCATGCAGGTGATTTCCTGAAGTAATGATGCATTCTCTTCCTTCAACTCTTCACAATCTCCATATTTCAACAGCAGTGTAACTTGTGTTCTCTCACTTTCAAACTTCATCCCAGATAGTGCTTCTTTAAGATACAAAACTTCCTCCTGAAGTAATGGTAATGTATGCAGTTGAATCTTTAGGCTAGAATTCTCTTCAGTCATTTGCAGCATTTGACATTCAGAAGACAGTAGTTTTGACTCAAGCTCATTAATGGTGCATTTAAGCTTTGCTTCACTGGATACAAGATGTTCCATCATCCTCAGTAGCTTATCACAATTAGCTGCCAAAGTTCCCTCCTTGGCTTTGGAAGTACCAAGTTCACTCATAAGATCTGACATCTCTACCATCAGGGATTGTACCTGTTCTTGAAACTTTTTGACTTCAACTGTGTTCTCTGGAGACATTTCATGAAGAGTGCACCCTTCTACAAGAAATTTCTCTCCATGCTCTTTAGTCTGTAGGTGGAGATCGTCAAGTTTAAACTTAAGGATCTTCTCTTTTGATTCAATCTCTTCCATCACTGAAGAAAAGTTAGCTTCTAAAGACTCTATCCTTTTCAAACAGGTGGAGAAAGAATGCTGAGATTTCCTCAATTCTGCTTCCAAAACATTATGGTTCGCATGTAATTTTAATTTTTGTTGCCTTAGTTCTGCATTCAAGTTTTGAAGCAAATGACACTCTTCCATAAGACTTTCTGTTGTTGCTTGGAGCTTTGGATTTACTTTCTTCAGATACTCACACTCTTCTTGAGCATCTAACCATCGCTTTTGCATCTCCAGCAACTGTTCTTTCATATCGAGCTTTTGTGACTCCTTTTGATGTTCTAATTTTCTAATCTTGCTCTCAAGGCTCACAACACGATTACCAGAATGCTGCAGTTCCAAACGATTGAATTCCATTGCATCAGTCAAATGCCTTAGTTGAGCTTCCAATCCTGATACTCGTTCTGACAGATCTACATTTTCTTTCTCTAATTCATGCAAATTAAGTTCTAACTCATACTTATCACTCTCTAGCTCTAATGATTTCATTTCGTACGTCATTTTAGAGACACCTCCACAAATACATTGATCAAGAAACATCAAACCATTTGTGGAAATGTCTAAAGAATTGGAGGTGGCACTAAGTTCTTGTTGCATGTTTTCCATTCTCTCCTCCATCAGACATTTACTCATCTGGAGATCAGAGATTTGAGTACTCAAATCAGTCTGATGATGCCTTAGCGCTTCGATCTCTACATCCTTTTTCAAACATTTTGTCTTCAGCTCCAGTATCTCCGAGTTCTTAGCTAAACTATCACTACTTAAATTTTGAATCTTGCCCTCTAGCACCTTATTTAAATCCTCAAGCCTTTCACAGCAAGAACAATGGGTATTTTCCTTTGGAAGGTCATCCTTTTCTTCATTTTGAACTTCACATGCATCCTTTAATGTTGTTTTGGGTTCATCCTCGATATGTTGACTACCATCAAGATATAGAGCCAACCTGTACCTCAATAACTGGAAATTTTTCAACACTGCATTAGCTTGCTCACCCTTAGCGGGATGACCTGTACATTCACAAAAATCTAAATTACATATAGCATTTTAAAACTCAGTGTTTATAAGTGAAAGGAGGACATTTTGTCTAGTACCCTGTTGCACGAGAAACATGCTAGATACTTACATAATGTGTTGAGTAGGGTATAGATATCTTCAATATGTCCTGACTCGGAACTTTGAAATATTATGGGTACATTTTTATGAGTGAAACGATCTTGACAATCTCCTTCCTGCTGACATTCTGATGGCATTGCAGCAACCTCAGTTCTCTGATCTTGTTCTTGTACTTCAACGCAACATGAGTTGATTTCAGAATTTGGCTTCAAAGCATTGTCCCTAACTTGTGAGTGAAACTCCAGAGCTAAGTTTTCTTCCTGATCACAGGTTTTCTGCTTACTTTCAGAACCACTAGGTGATTGTTGACTTAGTTGATGGTCAACGGAAGATGATCTTAAAATGGGATCACTGATAGAGGAAGTTCCCTTTGATTTCAGTTTGTACAGAAGTTCCAGATTTTCTTCGGTCAGCTCCTTGCAATCTCTCTCAAGTTCCTGGAGTCTTTCCTTGAGAGTCTCATTTTCCTTGATCAGATCACAGTCAGCTTCAGCTTTGATCTCACTTGTCTTGGAGTCCTCGGCACTTAAAAGTCTGGATAACTCTGCCTTCAAATAAGTGATTTCCTCTTCTTGTTCTCTTGACCTATTTTTCCATTTTTCTTCACAATCTATAAGAGCCTGAGTCCTGTGATCTCGTTCAAGTTCAATCTCATGAGTTTTCTCCCTGATGATTTTCTCCAGATGGAGAGTGGTGTTTTCCAGATTTTTCTGTGATTCTTGCAACTGTTGAAGCTTGTCCTCTAGGTTCTGTTGGTTCTCAGAATTTGACTTTACTTCTAAAAGGTTCTTAATCTCCAATTTCTGCTTTTCAACAGTTTCTTCCATCTCCTGCAGAATAGAGACTAGTTGAATATTTGATTCTTGAGTTTTACTTAGCTGGAAAGACATATCGTCATTTGATTCTTTTTGAATCCTAAGTTCCTCTTTTAAAATCTTTTCAACACTATCCATATCTCTGACTCGGAGCATTAAACTCTCAGTTGATTTTTCCTTTTCCATGGATTCTTGTAAAAGGATCTCAAGGTGTTTGATTTCTTGCATCGATCCATCACGTTCTGTACCCAATGAACAAAGCTCCATCTTAAGGTTTTCTATCTGCTGTGACTGGTCAGCAAACTCCTTCCTTGACATTTCCAAGTCATTCTTTAAGCTTTGAGCATTTTGTTCCCACATCATGGCCTCTGCAATTAGTTCTTTACTGGTAGTATCTTTGGCTTGTAAGGAGTTTCTAGAGGAAGCAGAAAGTTGCACTGATGCGGTGTTCTCATGTGAGAACTGTTTCAAATCATCTTTTTGATTTTGAGCATTCTTTCCTGATCCTGAGATCATTAAATTATAGGGAGAGTTGTACGATTTGGGTGATTCACAAAAAGAGTAAGAACCACAGGATGCACTACTCCTGGAATCAATTGATTCTTGTCTACCAATTATGAGGTTACCATGCCTATTTGAGTCACTTTGGGATGAAACGCTTTCTCTGCCCAATGAATCCTCTGTAGAGGCAAAGCTATGATATGAACTCAGCCGTGGGAGGCTTCTTTCCTGTTGGGAAAGCATAATCTAGCTTAAATTCTAGAGGAAGCTAGAGAAGATAAAGTAACAAAATAAATGCACCATTGATACTAGTAAAATAAGATCTCTGAGAGAAGACATACGTTGATAATAATGAGAAATATACTTCAACTTCTGATATTTGAGCCTATACATGCATCCGGTGATTTCAGTTATTCAAGTTGTTTGGTCTATATCTATGATTTTATAGTTACTTGGCTTTCTTGTAATGTCCCTTAATTTTAAAAAATTGCAGTCTGTATGTCTGTCTGTGTCCATGTCCCACGCCATGTCTAAACTACTAAAGCTGCATTCAAGAATGAGATCCAGGCAATATTGCAGCCACTTTCCAGCCTTCTAAATATAATAATTATGGACTTTTTTATCTGGATGGTTCTAGATTGACTACCGACTGAAAGCGTTAGATCAAAACTCAAACTTGGCCAACACTGAAAATGAAGACAGGACATATAAATCTATAATTCTATTAATCATTTTCCATTTAAGGCCCAGTATTCTATTATTTGCATTTTAATTGTGAACTAAAAAGCGAAAATGGATATCCAAACTTTAAGTACAATACTAGTTCTAATTGGGTGAATAATCAAATATTTGGATATTAGTTCAAAAACAAGATTTTTCTCATATAATATCCTAATGTATATCAACAGATGCATAAAGCTTTCTGACTAGATAGTTAGATACCTCTGATTTCATTTCCATGTTATTGTATTCCATGTTCTCTTCTTCAGCATAGAAGGGCATGTCTTTGGATTCATTATCCCTACGATTTTAAACTGATTCTTTTTACTATGGATAGAGAAAAAAAGAAGAAGCAGAAATGTTGAAAACTAAGGAAGAAGTTGTTGTGTTCTAGTGACAAACCTGATTGATGTCAGACACTTGATCTCCAGCTGCAGAAACATAAGAAATTGAATCAGTAATAGTAGGTAAGTAAAAAAGCTGATATTATTATGTACTCAGGTGTGCTTTAGGTAACATGTTCCTGAATGAAATATAGGCCAAGAACCTAAGGGAATTGGCTGAAAATCTTCAACAAGGACCTCAGGCATTCAGGATGGGATCAACATTACGATGCTCCAAATTATGTGTAATTTATTGCATTTGAGATGAAAGAAGTTAAAGCTGGAAATTTTTTATTCAAGTAAATCAACTTTGTTCAATTCTATTGCTTTCTTTAATTTTCACATATTTAATATGAAATCCTTAATTCTAAAAACATATTCAGTTTCACATTAAAAAGTAAGTAAAAATAGCATACAAGCATGCAAAGTTATGTGGCTCTCAAATTCTTATGAGCAAAGTAAGATGACAAAACAAGTATTCTTTCAGTATATAACTTGTAGAATTACATGGATACTATTGAACGGAAAACAAATTAAATTCTATTACTGAGAAGCAAACCTAAAACTTGAGAATTATTGAGCACAAATGAAAAGAAAATCTTTCTAAAGGGGATTACTAAGATCTGAGAAGCTAGTTGATACACAGAGTTCGTCATCTAAGCTCGCATTAATAGAAGTGATTGATGCATTCGTTAAAAAATTAGGTTATTTGTTCCAGGTAAAGCAACAGAAAAGAACAAAAAAGAAGTTTCTTTGCACTTGAGTTACGGAAGATGAACTTGTTTATTGCAAAAGAAGTATAGAATCTTGGAGAAATATGATATGGTGGGTCTACAAAGAGTAATTCCTGAACATGTTGAATTAACATGAAGGAAAGAAATGGTAATCATAGGATATACTAGATAATGTTTTGCATTTTAAAGTGCAAACATCAAACTTGAAAGTATTAGAAGAGGTCTCACTTGTAGAACTGTGCCATGGTTACATTTTTTCAAAGGTAAGGAAACTGGAGTAAAAGCTTTTGCATCCCTGAAGTGAGCAAGATTTACAGAAGCCTCTCCGAGAATGCTAGATCTTGCAGATCCCTGAAACAGAAAACTGATAACGTTATAAACATGAAAACTAAGAGCCAAGTATAGCAAATTCAGTAAGCTTAAAGCTTATTGAACCGATAACTTCAACAGATAGAAATATAGGAAGGTGTCTGACCATTGTTACAATAAACTTAAGAGGGAATTGTTCTTGGTTGTTTGAAATATCATCTGGGGTAATCCACATGGACTGTGACCATGTTTCTGTCCATTTGCAATTACCATTTCGTACTGAGGCTTTCCCTGATTTGCTGACTGTTTTCCCTGTTTCCACAGAGATAAGAGAGAGGGAAAGTTTGTCCCATCCTTTAGGTACCTGAGGGAAGCAAACCCATAGAAAGTCTGATAAACTGAAATTGGACGTAAATTTTCAGTCAAGATGATGATAGCGAGGCCATTGAGACGTCAATGTTAGATGATTAGTCTTTGAATTCTATCTAACAAGTAAAAGAAATATAGACATCGGAAAAAATGTTCCATAGATATAAGTAGTTTGAGAAAAGGATTTTGTAGCTAGTCATTATCTTAAGAGTATCTGTTCAGTCACAAATACTGAAAGCAGGGTAAGAAATTCACCATGTTAAACATTACAAATTTACAAGAAAACGATTGGATCTTTTGAAACATTTAATGAGGTAACAACAACATATCCAGTGTAATCCCACAAGTTGAATGTGGGGGGGAAGAGTGTACACAGTCCTTACCTCCAAGGTAGACAGGCTGTTTCCGACAGAACCTCAGCAAGAGATGAGGCAAGAAGTGCAAATCCAAGAGGAAAATAGAGTCTATAGCAGTTAATAAGTGAATATGTAAAGACGAGACAAGACGGTGTATATGGTACTAATTTGACCTAAATTTTTTTAAGGCTGTTTCCTTTATGAGTTATTCATTTCCTACATTGTCCAACATTATTATATCCCTGAAATATTTATGTGTTATTTAAATATATTTCCTTGTGTACTGTCAATTAAAGCTATTATGATCTATTTTTCTGTTTTGCACTTTTGAATTCAGGTACTAACTCTTCCGTGCACCTCCGTATGTGTCATTTATTCATACCATTGTACATATGGCTTATACTGCAACGTGGTTCCTAGTTCAATCGTTTATTACTAATAATACCAGAGTAACAGACTGGTTACATCAATTCTGCACCATTTGCCATTCCATTGTTTCCAAGAAAATATGTTTTTCTGGTGTTTCTTTCTCTGCCTCCTGCCAACTATGAAGAGAACCGTAATCCCTTTTTCATGTAATTTAGGAGAAAAAATGCCTCAGATGTTTGCATGGCAGCAGCCAGTAGCAGGCAGCAAATGGCTTTTAACAAATTTCATTTTCACATTTACCGCGACTAAGGAAAAAAAGAAACTAATGGACAACGGACAACCAGGTTCACAGCCCATGCATATATGATACATCACACAACTGCCACTCAGAACCTCTGTTAGTGCTTACTCATCTTCAAGAATCAGCTGCTGAACAAAAGCAATTGAATGTTTCATTAGTAGATTGACCTACTTCGACTAGTTCAGCTGCCTGGTTGTATGCAGCTAATAGTTTGCTGATTGTTGCTTTGAAATTAGATTTGTCATATTCAGAAGTTTGCTTAACATCTCACTCTAGTCCAACTATAGTCTTGCAGTTATTTTGATCATTTTTATTGCATAAGTAGGCACGGATAACTATAACTTACACTCATCTCCCTATTTCCCATGTTAAATACCACAACATTCAGTGTCAGACCCACAAATTGGTCATATCCAGTGACCCCTCTAAATTTTGGAAAAGCCCCTTCCGTATTATTTTAATACTTGTGAAACCCGCAATAAGGAATGCAAAGTGGACACTTAATGAAGATTTCTTATGCATTTTCTATAGCACAATTCCCTATTTGGAATATCATAAGTTTTGGTTCACTTTTCAGTAAAAGTTTCCAGTATAATTTCGATGAATCAACAAAGTTATGCCTATCTAATAGCTCTCCGTGACTTGGAACAATACAAAAGACTTGTACAATAAAATATTGCAGAAGAAGATAAATTCCAGCCTATCCAACAGATATGTCCAAATAAGAACACATGCTACAGAAAAAGTATTACAATAAACTGCACATGCACTTATGCTCTCCTTTATCAACACACTCTGCCAAAATAACATTTAGCTGAAACGGTAACTTACACACAGAATCAAACACGAATAAGAACAATCCAAATATATCACACAGCATTGATTTAATTGCTTCAACTTTTTTGTTCTTCTAAAAATCACAAATTATCGCAGAAATTCCCAACTCTACCAGGTGCGTAAACAGTAAACCAATTAAACAGCAGGAAAAATCAGTATCAAAGAGCTAATTGCACGTTCTAAAATTCATATTAAACTGTAAATTATACTTCGAGATACTCAAAACACATATAGAAACACACACAGAATGACATTGATTTATTTGCTTCAAAACTTATAAAAGCTTGTAAATAGCCCAATTAAAAAAAAGCAGAAAACAGAAAAAGAAATAATCAGTATGAAGAGCTAATTGCACATTCTATAATCCGTACTTAAGCTGTAAATTATACCTCCTGATACTCACAGTCACAATACCAATCTCTCTCTCTCACACACATTGATTAATTTGCTTGAAAACTCAAATTATTGCAGAATTACCTAACTCTATCGACTATCAGGCATGTAACTAATAATAAACCAATTAAACAGAAGGAAAGATTCAGTTTCATGAGCTAATTGCACATCCAATAATCCGTACTTAAACTGTAAATTATACCTCGAGATACTCCTAATACACGCACATTGATAAATTTGCTTGAAAAACTCACATTATTCAAAAAATTCCAAACTCTATCAGGCATCTAAATAGTAAACCAATCGAACAACATAATACACAGTTCTATAATTCGTATTCGTACTATTAATCTGTAAATTATACTTCGAAATACTCAAAATACAAACAGAGATAGATAGAGATAGACCTGTCGAGCTTGTAGGTTGGAGAAGGAGAAGTCAAATCGATGTCCTGATTTCTCCGAAAAAGAAGACGACGACTTGTGCCGGTGATGCAATTTCAAAATTTTATCTCTGATCATCATTTCAGAGTAATAATTATGCAAAATGCAGATAGCTAGAGCTTGAAAATATCAATGGAGATGGAGATGGAGATGGAGAGAGAAGTTGTGTGCTATATAGAAAAAGTGAAAGTGAAAATGGAGTGGATAACTGAATTTGTGTGTGTAGCTAGAGCGCACTAGTGGTGGGTTTAGCTATATTCGCTACCTGTCTTTTTTTTTTTTTTTTCAATATTGGAGTTGGTTGCAAATTTTGTGTGAGCTAATTGTCCTTTACTGCAGTGCAGATTCCTTTTTTTGTTGTATAAAGTTTTCTTCTTCCTTTTTTGTTTTCACTGGGTGGCACATGTTTTTTCATAAACAGTAAAAGTTGCTGGGGTACTCTTTGTTTCTTCTCAATTCTGTGTACCGTATAGGTATTGAAGTCCGATTAATTTAAATTCGCATTGTGAAATGCTTATTTTAGAGCAGTGTTTGTAGACATTAAAAATTGACGTGTTCAATTATAGAAGGACTCTATAAAATGTACTCCATTTGTTTTTAATTGGAATTCTTGGAGACTTACTCTAATCTTAAATCCTATTTATGCCTATGTAAAAGGAATATTCATAAAGAGATTACATTCAAATCATTCAGTTTGAATATATGCAACTAACGGTCCTCGAATCACAAAGAAATTCAAATCATTCTTAATTTGAAAAATACGCCACTACAACCCTCGAATCTATTTTACGAGAGAAGAAACAAGGGTGAAATCATGGATAAATCTTATGAGAAAAGAATGATTTGAAGGAACAGATTTGTACCGATATTATTTATCAATAAAATATTCATATTTTTTTGTGATGGTAATTTATTTCCTGTTACTTTTGAAATTTGTAGTAAACAGTGCTATCTACTAAATTTTTTATTATTCATATTTATGATTTGAGATCTAAACCTCTAAAATTCAGTAACTGTACAACAAGGATTTGAATTAACCAATTGTAATACTAAATTCATAAAATTGAGTTCTTGTAACAGTAACTTTTAAGTTAAAGTAACTTTTAAATACTTTTGCAGTATTCGAATAACTTTAAAAAGTGCTATAAACACTTGATTTTAAACAAAGATAATAAAATAACTCAAAAATAAAAAATGAAAAGTCAATCCATATTCGATGAGAGGGAGTTACTCGAATGGTAAGCACTCCTCACTTTCAACCTGAAGGCTGCGAGTTCGAATCACCAAGGGAGCAAAAGGGGTGAGAGCTCCTACGAAGGGATTAAAAAAAAAAGTCAATCCATATTCCAAATGGATATTTTACTTATCCAAACAAAAAATACAAATCACTCAAAAATCAAATTTCTGGCTTGAAAATGACACGTCATCGCCAGAATATCAATTGTCACTGTATACATGCCACGGTGAGAAAATTACTGTAAAAGATAAAATATAGATTATGAAAATTTGACTTTCTTAAAAAAAGTTTTTCTCACGTGGCATTTAGTTAAGTTATTTTATCGTTGTAAAAACTAGTTTTATGACTTTAATTATTGAAATGCATTTTTTGAATAGAAAAAAGCGTAAATTTAATAACTGTCTGTATAAATTAACCCGTATTGATTTTAAAATCTGATTTATTCAAATTCGATAGAAAAAAATCTCACTTTAAAGAATAAAACTACTCAAACGTTTGATCTAACTTTAAATTTAGGATTGTAGTTAACAATAACTACAACATCCCTGTCATTGTATCCTTCTGTCTAGGACATATTTGGATAGAACTCGGACCACATGACTTAACAACAAAACAGGCCATGTTTCACCGACAAGGGGTGTGGTGGAGTGGTAAGTATTCCTTCATTTTTAATTAAAGGTCTCGGGCTGAGTCTCCTTGATACAAAGTCGCTTTTGTTAGAGAGTGTTTTACCCCAATATAGGATTTTTCGGCGTGAATCCGGATTTAGTCAGACTCTAATGTGAGTACCGGACATTGAGTGGGAAACAAAAAAAAATACAAATCTGAATTTAATCGGACTCCAATGTGAATATCGAATACTTGGCGGAAAATCAAAAGAGAAAGAAAGAAAGAGGCCATGTTTTACTAATTAAGATTGATCGTTGTGCCAAGATTATACAGAGCTAACATTTTTAGTTTATGAGCTCTATCAATTAAGGATAACTCGGAGAGCATAAAGTATCGCATGTTAATAGGATTGGGGGAAAGGCCACATTCCAAGGAGGAGTAGTATGACGTAGACAATCCATCTAAATGTCAATATTAGTGATTGTTTCCACAGCTCGAATTCATAATCTATAGACCACACAAAGACAACCAAAAAAAAGAAGAAGAAAGAGGCCATGTTTCACCAATTAATGCGGCGAGATTATATAGAGCTAACATTTTGAGTTTATGAATGGGATAACGGTCTAAAAAAACCCCAACTTTGGTCGAATTTGCTGTTGCGATACTAAACTTTCATAAGGACCTATTACCTCCTTAGACTATTTAATACCATATTTTTTACCCCATAATCTATAGACCACACAAAGACAATCAAAAAAAAGAAGAAGAAAGAGGCCATGTTTCACCAATTAATGCGGCGAGATTATATAGAGCTAACATTTTGAGTTTATGAATGGGATAACAGTCTGAAAAATATCCCAACTTTGGTCGAATTTGCTGTTGCGATACTAAAATTTCATAAGGACCTATTACCTCTTTAGACTATTTAATACCGTATTTTTTACCCCATGAACTATTTAATAGTGTATTTTAAAGGTATATATGTGCCCACGTGGACACATTATTATTTATAATTTTGCATTATTTTTTATGTCCACGTGGGCAAATATATATGTTTAAAATACGGCATTAAATAGTCTAGGGAGGTAATAGGTCCTCATGAAAGTTTAGTATCGCAACAGCAAACCCGACCAAAGTTGGGGTATTTTTCAGACCCTTATCCCTTTATGAATTATGTATCATTAAGGATATATAACTCGAAGCATAAAGTATTTCATGTTAGCAGGATTTAGGGAAGGGCATACATCCAAAGGAGTATGATGTAGACAGTCTATCCTAATGTCAATATTAGTGACTGCTTTCACGACTTGAATCTGTAATCTATAAATCACACAAAGACAACTTTATTATTGCTCCAAGACTATGTCCCTGCCCATATGGTACCTAGTTCTCATGATAACTAGAAATGTCGGTTCTAAAGACTTGAATACCTTTACATTAATTTCATTGAAATGGGATCAACCACCACCTAATTGATTCAAACTCAACATGGACCAAACCTATTAAGCAAACATGGTCCTTTATCTACGGGGTTAGGTTTAAAGTAGTTATATTTAATAAGTATATTCATAAGCAATTTTAGTCTTCTAGTTAGTTATTACAAGTAAGCACTTTTGATTAATTTCTATAAAATTGAATAAACTCTATCTATTTGATTTGAGGGGGACTGTGAAAAAAGAATGTAAGATTTTTCATAAAAATCGCAACACAAAATATTGTACTAGATATCAAAAGTAGAACAAAAATAGTAGAAACTATAAAAATTGTACCTCTAAATGTGAGTTCTCGCTAAAAATTTTCTGTAGTTTCCATAAAATTGAAACAGACATAATTTATTAAATATTTGACGAATATTAAAAATGCTCACTTTTAACAAATTTACTAGATCAAAACTGCTTAGAAATATATTTAATAATGTATATATATTTACTAGTCCATTTTGTTACTTTCTAGAACCTACAACAACAAAAATAATATTGAAAGGTTGTATATAGGTAAAACTTTATTTGATAAGAGATGACACTCAACAATAATAACATAGTGAGTGAAATTCCGAACGTGAGATTTAAAAAGGATAAAACATATACAGATTTTATCATTACCTCGTGGATGGTACACTTTTACACTTGCATATTGCTAATGATTGCAAGTTATTAATTAATTGTCTAAAATTGTTGTATATATACATGAACCACAACTTTAGAGAAAGCAAATTAAATCAGCTCAGAGTTGTTTTTACTAATCATGAAAATACATTAAATATCTTAGAATGCTACCATTGGTTAAAATATTAATAATATCTTCTATTAAACACAAAAAAGAGTAAATATGGTAAATGAGTTAAATAGACCATAAATAAAGTTGAGAAAGATATTTATATATAATCTAAACAAACATCATGAAATTCGCCGGTACAATCAGGGTCTTGGGAGCAGTGGCGGATCTATGCAGAGGTTTGGGGGTGCCACGCCACCCCCGAACTTCGACGGAAACTCTATATATACATAGGTATATATATATATATATATAATATTTATATAAATATAAAGCGTGTCACCCACAGAACAAAACTGTCTTGTGGTGCCATTGTAGGAGGGCAACTTTAGAAGACTGATGTTGCGGGTTCGAATCCCATTTGTACTTCTTTTTTAAGAAAAAAAAAAGGCTCCAAACACGTTTTTTTAAGGAAAAACAGCTGGCACAATTTTTATTTTTATTTTTTTTATAATTGTTATTGACTTAAATTAAATTAATTACATTATTACTCCTTTGACTTTTCTTTTATTTGATTAAATACTCAATAAAAGTGTTATATCTTATTATTTACATTTTATTGATTGATTTATGATATATATCGAAAAGATAAATAATTTAATCAAATATAAAATTAATTTAATCGATAAGTCTATTTGACACCCACGGACTCTAAATCCTGGATCCGCCACTGCTTGGGAGGGCAAGGAGGCAAAATGGTGGAGATGAAGGAGCAGGAGATAATTAGCGTGAAATGTCATTTATTATAAGTTATATTAACACGCTTAGTATTTTTTTATTTTTTATTAAGATAGTCATTTATTTATTTATTTATTAGATTTTTTTTTCCTCGAATGAAATACTTTGATTAATCAACATAAGAAAATTGAAATTATTTCAAAAGAAATATTTTTCTCCCTAACAAACACACCATTCATTGACATTAATTTAATAGTATCTTTTTTTTTCTTTGTCGTAAAATGTCTGCAGTTGAAATTTGGGGAAATACTTTTTATTTTCTTCTAGATCTTTATTATTATTATTA